TTTTCACTCTTTTGCTGGAAGCTGGAGTAATTGTCCCCTGCCCATCATCACCTGTCAGAACACCTATTTTTCCTGTGAAGAAAATCAGACCCAAGCCTCCAGATGAATGGCATTTGTAATTTTGTCACAAATCCCATCTGGCTCTACCCATTTCTCTGTCATTGACGTGGCCAATGTATTTTTTAGTGTGCCCATCCATCCAGACAGCCAATTTTGATTTGCTTTTCAATTTCAAGGAAAGTCTTACACTTTCACCCACCTGTGTCAAGGTTACTGTGAATCACCCACTATTTTTCATCAAGCACTGAATGACAGTCTTGCTGGTTTTACACTCCCTTCTGATTGTTCTTTGTTACAATACATGGATGACCTTCTGTTGGTATCGCCCTCAGAACAGTCTTATAGAGAAAATACTGTCCGTCTGCTCCAACACTTGGCTGAGCAGGGACACAAAGCATCATTGTCTAAGCTGCAGTTTTTACAAACTACTGTGACATTTCTGGGCCATAGAATCTTAGCAGCAGGTAGGGAAATTGCAGACACTCGTGTCAAGGAGACCGCTGAATGGAGACCAGCCTGTTCCAAAGATGGACATGTCTCGGCATGTCTCGTTTCAAGGCCCGGTTGGCAAAAGCCTCGAAGTCTAAGCTAATTGGAAACAGATGCTGGGAGCACACACTTACACAAACACACATGCACATACACGCTCACACAATCTCACAGACACACACACATGCAAAGGTTGTCATTGTAGTGAGAGATAACATATTGTGTCAGGTGGAGAGTGTGAGTAAACTTAGCGGGTTCTCGTGCGCCTGAGTGAGTCAGGGCGTGGCCGGCCAGGAGAAAGACATCTGAGGCCGAACAGAGTGAATTCCACAAGCTATCCTCAAGCCCTCCACAGGGACAGAAATCTACCTTGCCCAGGAAAGGTCAACAACTGGAAAAGGACTAAGGAATGAATATTATTCATTATGTAACCTCTTTGTAATTGAATGTAATCATTACTGTGCATACCACTGTTCTCCTGCAAAATCATTAATTAAAGCAAAGCAAAACGTAAAATTCTAGATTCTTATTTCAATACCCCTTTGTTCATGGAAGTGGAAGACTTGGTTCAGAGAAACAACAGGAGAATGGGAGGTTTTAAAATGTTTCCTAGCTTTGATTATAAAACAACATCCAAGAGTCTTATGACTAGATTCTAAACAAAGCCAGATCGGATAACAATTGCAATGTTAAATCAGGAGATGAGCTACCGTTAACTTACGCTTCCTCATCTGCTAAATGTCCCCACTCCTGTTGCTAGGTCGGGTGAGGCACAAGTTGAGACTTTGGGTGTGGTGCAAGGATCGTAAGTAGTTAACAGTCTGGGGGAATCATCTCAATACAGCCTTAGACTAAGAACTGTCCTGGGAAACAGCTGCAGGTAATACCTGAGCCTTGGGATTAGTTCAGAGACCCAATAGAGGAGAAGGCTGCGGTGAAGGCGTGGCACGTGTCCTGTGTCTACCTCACTCGGGTAAGCAAAAATGGTGGCAGTGGTGGGATATGTTTTTTTAGTGTAAAGACCCCCAAAGAGATGGAGCTTATCAGAGGACTGATTAAATGCCAAAAAAAGAACACAGTCCCTAGAGTTGAGGAGTTTGAGTGGCTGGACCAGGCCACCAGCCAAGTACCCCTTAGTGATCCACTAGGCAGTGGGTGGGGTAGAAGGGCTTATGAAGGAATACTGACCATAATCCACATAGTAAGTTAAGCAGCTAGTCTGTTCCCATCTGAAGTACAAAGAATAGGGCTGGGAGGCTCTGTGGAACAGACACTCGAGATGACAAAAACAGAAAAATGGGCGAAGCTGTAGAAGAAATGGAATTGTATAACCAGCCCAAGCCAAACGATCCGACAGGAGCAACACCCGAGTCAGAGAGAGAAATACTAGGAGTGAGGGTAGGAATCCTCCCATATGGAAAAGGTTATGAAACCTGGAACCCACAGATACATCTCTAATTCAAAGACAGTAAGCTGGAGAAAGATAAAGAAGTTCTGCAACAAAATCTGATCAGGAGCATCGATGAAAAGGGTGTGTACCATTACAACAAGGCAACGAATGGGCTTAAACAGATAGTAATGCAAGACCCAGCTAAAACAAAAACCAAAGCAGAGATCAAAAAGTGGCTGCAATGGTGGGTGCAGATGGTAGAAACACCAGTGAGTGCGCTACTGGCGGTGGTGATCAGTCCTTCCATTGAATATGACCGTGACCATAATAAAGATGGTAGCTAGGGCATCAGGATTGGGATGGCGCTTAATTAATGATGATATAAAGGTGGCTCCTAAGTATAGGGAGTATACAGTTGAGTTAATGAGATTAACTATGTATGAACAGAAAAAATACCAGGAGACAGGGGTAGGAAGAGAACGGACATCACAAACGGGCTCTCCATGAAATACAGACAAAGATGAGTCCGAATCGGATAAGGAAGCAGATGAAACACATAAAAGTGAAATAATCGTAACAATCAAGGCAGAAAAAAAGGTCTGAATGTTGTCATACCTGAACAAGGAGCATTCATCCCGGCCTCCCATGCGAACCCCTCATTTGTGAATCTCCCATTTGGAAGCTTTCCCCTAAGCAATAGCCAATATAAGGATACTAAGAATCAAGACCCAGACCTAGACTCAAACGGTGAGCTCCTAAGATCAATGGCCAAAGTCGAAAAAAATACCAATGACTGGTCCTTTGATGATGAGACAGAAAAAGAAAAGGTTGATCAGCAACTAGATGCCATTGCCCGAAGTCTAACCGAAAAACTGAGCCAGCTTTGGACAAGTGGAAAGGAGTTGAACATGGGACCCCTAGGAAAAACAAAGACACAACAAAAGTTAGATCCAAGTGATAATCAAAGAGATAAGAAAGAGGACCCGGGAGAGGGTTCCTCAGGAATACCCAACGAAACCCCCAGAAAAAAGGAATCTAAAGAGAAACATTGGGAACCAAAGCTAGAACCAAAATCCAACCAAAAAGATGAAAAAGAGCCCAAAGCGAGGCTGAAAGAGAAAATTAAGCCATTACCAAAAGGCGTGCCCAAATTCCCTCTGACTGAAACCCTTAAACCTTTACCCGAAGAAATACAAATCATACCATTCCAAAATGGGACCCAAGTGTGTAAGCTGAAAGGAAGCCCTTGGACAGTAGATGCCAACGGGTTGTTGGTATTCACCAATCACAAATAGAAGATCCATAACTCATCTTTCAGAAAAACTTTAAAGAAACTAGTGGGGAGCGAGTATCAACTAGAGATAAATCAATTAAGACAGTGGACAAAAGACTCAAAGCCAAAAGTGAGCCTAACTAGTGGCGCTGACTTTCCACACTATGCCATAATACATGTCCCAATTATAAGCTACAAGGAAGCGACCAGCAATGAAGGATACATGAGGGAAATGTTAGGAGCCCTCGAAAGAGGAGTATCCCGAGCCATAACTCAGGGTTTCAGGCGACTAGTGATGAGTGTTGACGGGTTGCGGTCCCACCACCTACAGTGGGAAATAGCTGAGCGTGTGGCAGTTCATTCAGCTATGTGGTTAGCAAGAGAGATGCCTGCTGCAGCAGCATTGAAGGAATTGATCATTGTGACTCCATCTCATCTAAATGAAGATCGGAAAGCAAGGGTCGTAGCCTCAATGACAAAACCAGAGAAAAAAACAATTGAAGAACCCCTAAAGCTAGGGAGAGAGGACGCGGATAAACCATCGACATCACAAGGGGTAAAGAAAAGTGAGGACCCTTTAAGGATTAATCTTCAAGAACCAAAAATGCCTCTGACCTCACCCTCAGAAAAAGACTTGAAAAGTTCAGCCACAAGACGACGGAGAAGTGGCGCAGAATCACAAGTGGGACAATCGGGGTGTAAGACACTTGCAAAAATACAACCATTAAATTGAGAAAGCGAGGAGAGCGACAAAGAGAGCTCACAGGGGGAACCAGATGCAGATCTGAGCCAGGAGGGCACTGATGATGAAGGTAGTGCCAGCTTAGGATCAATAGCAGGCCAATACGATGGTCCAATCAAACCATTGAGAATAGGGCAAAGGAAAGAACAAAAGAAGGGGGTAGAGATACTGGACGTACACAGAGTGTAGAAAGGTGTACACAGAGTGTCAGAAAGGTTGGCCAGAGATTTGAGTTGGGGTCCGGTGCAGGCGAGCGATGGGCGCCGAACCTACATCCCTGAAGCTGGCCAAAATCATTATGACATTCCACCAGTATGGGCAGACAGGTCAGAGGAGACAGTGGAACTGACTGTTAAAGCTACTTTGGGAGAGTGGGCCAATATTTTAATGATGCCCTCGTGCCCCACATTAGCAGCCCACAAACCCTTAACCAGTAAGTTTAGAACAGCTTACTTGGGAATAGTGCATGATGTGATGCTAAGAAGGATGAAAAAGAGTGCCTACAAATACGCCCAAGAAACAGAAAAGAAATTGTGAGATGAAAATTCGGCCGATGAAGAGGATGACACATGCCTGGCCGAAACAAATCCATCGTACTATGTGCCTCAATCAACCCCTGAACCAAAGCAGGTGGACCAAAGCCGAGCCTCCGGCTCGGACACTGACAGTTATCGTGAGTACAAAAAGCTGAAAACCTTAGTGAGAGAAAAAAGACCCCATGAGACAACTGAGGAATACATCAAAGATGTGTGGCCCATGGTCGTTAGCTCCACTGAGTGTGATGCAGCAAAAAAGCTGTGGCTGGGTAATGTCACCACAAACCCAGTGAGTAAAGGGGAGTTGGCTCAAAGCCAATACGAAAAATTGGTCCTGGAGGATATGGACGACGATAACTCTCAGATTCAACGAGCAAAAGTGCGTATGGATCAAGGGCAACGCCTCACAGCAGTCTGGTATCAACTTAAGCAATGATTCCCCCCAAAAGATACGTTAAAGCCTTAAGAATCGTAACCAAAGGGAGAAGGGGAGAACTCACCTTTGCCGGAATGCCCCATGAAACTACTGTCGCCCAAATAGATCAGGCAGTGAAGTCTTACGATCTAGAAGAGCAGTTCTGGGAAGAGAAAAAGAAAAGTGAGATAAGGCAAATCCCAAAACAACCGAAAACAGCACAGAAGGCCCCTCAGCAGCCACAATACAGAGAGCAAACCCCGAGGCCTCCAGAACCACAATATAGGAACCAACAACCAAGGAAATTTCAGGCCCAAGCTGCAAACCCAACACCCCAGAAATGGGGCAAATATATACCTCCAGAGGAATATGCAAAGCTCACCCCAGAAGAAAAGAAGGCCCTCCAAGATTCCCACACAAAAGGGAGTGAAGGGCCAGCTAAATAATGGCCGAAAGGTCGCAGGTCACCCTGGAGAATGCCTATTGGGATGGGGATGAAATCTACACTAAACTAGGTGGAGAACCTTACCTGATAGACTCGGGGGCAGAGGTGTCGATGACCCGCAGAAACCTAAAAACAATAGGACACCTCACGGTTCAATTGGCTAATGGAACCATGGAAAAAATGTCCTTTGGCTTATGGCAAGGAATTATATGGATAAAGGGACCTTACAACCTCATGACAATAGACTTAAAAGAATTAGGAAAGCCAAGAAGGGACCGAAGAGCCCTGAATAGACGACTGGATAAGCTCAAATCCAGGTTAGTGAAAATAGGGCCAACTCATGAAAAAAATGAAATAGGAGAGTGGTATAAACCTGTAAATATCCCCCAAGTAATGGAGCAAAAATTAAATGAGAGCGACTTCTCCCCGGCTGGGAAAGAGAAGTTAAAACAAATCATCGAGTTGGCCTCAGCGGCCAAGTTTAAAAAGGACTGCGGGGATTTGGGTCAAAGATTTGTACACTTAATCGAAGGAGGAGTGCATCCACCTGTGCGACAATATCCCCTAAATCCAGGGGCAGTTGAAGAAATGAACAAAACTGTGAGGGAATTAAGTGCTTTAGGGATCATTAGAGAAGAAGCTAATCCTATTACTAACAGCCCCATCCAGGCAGTAAAGAAACCTGAGTCTGCTGGAGGAGGATGGCGACCAGTAATCAATTTTAAGGCACTTAACAGACGAACAGTTGCCAACCGAGCTAGCCTAATCAATCCACAAGGTACTCTGAAAACCCTGCAGGTGAAAAAGTACAAATCCTGCATTGACTTGGCAAACAGATTCTTCTCATTCAGACTGGCTAAACAATCACAAGGGAAAACAGCTTTTACCCATCAAGGGAGAAGCTACATTTGGCAGTGATTACCACAGGGATACAAAAACTCTCCAAATGTGTTTCAATCAGCTGTAATGGATGTGCTTAAAGACTTAGGTGCCACAGTTTACATAGATGATGTGTTTATCGCAGATGACACAGAAGAAGAACATCTAGAAAGACTAGCAAAGGTGGTGCATTGAGTCACAGAAGCAGGGCTGAAACTGAATCTGAAGAAATGTCAATTTGGGCAGTTTCGAATAAACTATCTAGGGTTTCAAGTGACAGCCGATCTGGGGCTCTCAGAGGGCTACAGAGAGAAACTCGAACAGATTCAGCCCCCCCGAGTCCGAAAACAAGCTGCAAAAGATCTTAGGCCTGTGCAACTATGTGAGAGATCATCTCCCTAACTATCAAAAATATGTCAAACCCTTATATGCTTGCCTGAAGAAAAGAGAAGGAGAAAACGAACAGAAAAACAAAAAAGCTTGGATTTGGACCGCTGAAAACCAAAATGACTTGGAAGAACTCAGAACAAAAATACAGGAAGCGGTACGCTTAGAACCAAGAAGCCTGATGACAAAACTCGTAGCTGAAGTTAGCTGTGAGGGAGATGATACCATGATAACAGTCAAAAATGAAAATGGAGGTTTGGTTACTCTCTGGAGTTACACGTTAACCTCAGTTGAGAAAAAGTTTCCCCAGGAAGAAAAAGTGTTAGCAGGGCTTGCTAGATACTGGGAAACGCTGAAAGATCTGGCTCAAGGACAGCCTATTAAAGTAATAACACAGAGACAAGTGCACAAATATCTCAGAAAGGGAACAATTGAGAGTACCAAAGCTACCAACACAAGATGGGGTAGATGGGAAGACATTTTGTTAGACCCTGATCTGCAGATTTAGCCTGAGTTCAGCTATTTTCTTCCACAAGTCCTGGTGAGCCATCACTTTTCCCTTAGCACTCTCAAACCCATTCTCTTCCCAGATGGATAAGTCCTCATTTAAAGCTTGTGCACAGTAATGACTGTCAGTCACTACCTTTGCTCTTTTCACTTTTTTGTTTGTCAGTTCTAGCAGTGCTTCGAGGACTGCCGTAACTTCTCCTGTTTGCGCACTTCCTAGCACTCTCCCCCTCCTACGGCAGCACTCGTACCCCTGATATTTGATGATAAATCTACAATGTGCCGCCTGATCAGATCCCTTCTTGGATCCATCTGTGTAGAGTCCAGTCATGCATTGTTTGTTTTTCAGGTTTCTCTTTTGTCGCTTTTCTGCTTGCCGGCTGTGCCGGTCCTATCTCTAATCAGAGGTGGAGCACCAAAAGTCCCACACTAGAGAAGGAAAATACTGGTAGGGCAACAAAGAAGTCGATCGCTACGTCCAGCAGAGAAAAATAGTTTTTGTCGGGATCGAGAACTGGGACAGAACCTTCGAAGGTCGGAGGGTCCCAGAAGAGTATGTGTTAGAGGTTGTGCGGGGCGTGCATGAAGGCCTCGGTCATGCGGGCGTGCAACCTACACGTAAGGAGTTGGAGCGCAAGGAGCTCTGGGTCTCTTTAAAACAAGTCTGCAAGGTGCTGCAGGACTGTGAAGTATGTGGTCAATACAACACAGGAAGGCGAGGGCACCGAGTGAATGGGCAAACTATCAAAAGCACCATACCCTGGGGTTCAGTATGCATGGATGTAGCTGGGCCTATGGGAGTCACGGGCAAGAAGGGAGAGAAATACTTTCTAGTGCTAGCAGACTCGATGTCAGGGTATGTGGTAGTGAAACCAGCATGAAAAGCTAATGGCAACAGTGTTGTTAGCATGTTGGAGCAAGTCTGTGGGTCGTTAGGCGTTCCAAAGGAACTGAGAACTGATAATGGAACGCATTTTCGCAACGCACAAGTGGATCACTGGTGCCAGACTTTTGGGGTAATGCGTGTGTATTCGCCTCCTTACACACCTCAAGCCAACGGAGTGGCCGAAAGAGCCATAGGTTTGGTCAAAAATTGGATAGCTAAAAATGCTAATACCAAAGAATGGAGTACTAAAACTGTGGAAATAGGACAAGCCTTGAATGACAGGCATCGAGCTGAGAGACCCTCCCTCTCAGAGGAGCTTAACCAACGACAGTTCACCACGCAAGAAACTGGGCGGGGCTCCGATGATAAGGAGGAACAGCCAGACCCTGAAACCTCATTCAAGGTGGGGCAGAAGGTGTGGGTCAGAGCACAGGATCGCACGTCAGCAGTTGTAATAAGGCCCTTTATTAGAATGGTCACTATATGCGGGGGAGTTATCCTATGAAGAACAGCTTCAGAGCTTTGGGCAGGTAGGGCTCTGAAAACACTGGAATATGCTAAAAAAGTATACCTGTCAACAGAAGATGAAGCCCTCAGATGGAACAAGCTGGAAAACAACTGTGTGATCTGCCTGGACCCAAGTGGTCTACCCTTCTTTGGGAAGGACCAGGGAAAAAGAAAATCCTCAAACCTAAAGCAAGTAAGCAACATGTCTGAGATTTCGAAGTAAAACCTGTAAAAGTAATGGATGCGTTTATTTGTGGGAAGTGCAGACTCTCTGTCCTGCCTCGGATAATTATAATAACACAATGGAATCTGAGTGGCAAAGGCCCAAGAGACTGTACTTGTGAGTGGAATGGAACCGTCGTGGAATACTACAAGGGCTATCAAGAAGAAATGCAAAACAGTCAGCTACTGCACTCAGAAAGGGCAGTGGGTTGGCAAGTAAGGAGATACTATGACCCCCTCAAATCCTTTAAAGCCCAGTTGGATGAAAGAAAATCCGAGGCCCCAAAAGAAACCCCAAGAATGCAACAGTATGACCAGGGGCCGAACGCAACACACTCGGCCCCACCTTTATATCCAGAGATAGTTAAACCAAATGAGGGGGAAAAGGCTAAAAAGAAAGGGAAATGTTGGAACCCTCAGGATTTGCTTGAACAATCAGTGCAGCAAGCCTGGCCCTATAATCCCTCAATGGGAAATGTGAGAAACACACCTCTCAGTACTAACCAGTTTCCACTTGTCTTCAGGGTGTTCAGGGACTTGCCGGGGACAGATGGAGGTGAAGTAAACCATCTGCCTGATGAAGTGAACGAAGAAGCTCGAAAAGGCAGCTGGAAGGGCCCCTGGGAACTAACAACGTGGGCACAACTGGTAGCAGAGGTAATTCTAAACCAAGATCTCCCAATAATCGACCTTCCGGAGGTTCCTCGAGAGGCAGGGACCAGGCATACAAATCTATACTACCACACCACCAGCCTGGATGCATGGGCCATACACAGGGCTAGACCCAAGCAAAAAACAGCTGAGTATCTAGTGACCCTGGAATCCTGGGAGAGGAAAGGAGTGCTACAGATTCCTGGAATGGCTGCGCAATGGGTGGACACTCCCATAAGGTCAGACTCCACCCAGAGGGTTAGAGTTTCCATGCAAATTATCATTGCACCATACACGGGAGTGTACTCCGTTGGAGCCACAATCCAGCCGATTGAAGACAGTAAAAACGACGCAGAAAAGCCTCAACCAAGTAAAAAGGACAAAAGACGAAGTGTGCTGAAAGCTTGGGCCGGCAAGACGTTCCCGAAGAGATGGAAACTCACAGACAAGAAAACAAATGAGTAAGAACCGACCGAAGGAGCGCTAGACTCATCAACGGATCTCATCGCAGGAAAAGGTTAGAAAGACAATTACTAATAGGTATTATAAGATGCCCTAGTCCCATCTGGAGAGGAAGAGATAACATAAAATTACCTGAAATCATTGAGGTATGTTGGTCATGGGACGAAACTACGTTGAGGACTGCCCTAGTGTGTTGGCCGGGCGAAATGGACTTCCTCCCGAGATCTAAGGAACAAC